TGGGTTTTGTTCGAAGCTCCCTACCCCTTCAGCTCTTGGCACAACAATCTGATCCACAAGGTAGTGGAGATACATGGATGTTCATTTAGGGGACTCTACCTGCAGTTTTTGGTTTAATGACCTTGCTTGTAAGGCAGTAGGGAGCAAGCACAGTTCCAGGGTGTGACTGCAGATGCTCATTTGGATCCGTTTGAGACACATCATAAGGCGCCTTTGAGGATTTAGAACAGTTTACCTGTATATTTAAACCATAGTATGTTACGCACCTGCGAGCATGACTAACTTCGGGTGGGAGTTGTCGAGTTTGCACCCAACTGACCAGCGACCGCTTTCTAACAGAAAAGTACACATCGCCCCACCTGGCACCCACCGAATCCCTCAACGACGTGGACCCAAACGGACTACTATGCCATCAGCTACAGATGGCGCAAACCGTTTCAAGACTGTTCTAGTACGTGCCTGAATCCAGACCATGCTCTAGTGTGCGACGTCTAGCGATCACTTTATCCGCTTCAAAGAAGCGCCTACCTTCTAGGCCCCTTATTTGTAACGAATTCGCAGTCCGCAATTCAGCAATATCCTGATGAACTGGACTACCCATTGTTTGTGGCAGGTGAGCAGAATGCTGAACGGAATCGTGTCAAGTGTGCCGTGGGAGATTTTTTGATGCCTACTGTAAGCTAAACTTGATATGACCGAACTGTGTACGGATCTCTGAGGCATCCATTAGTTTGATCGGATCACGCTAAAGGGTACCGTTGAGTGCTGAGTCTCAGCGCATCTGTAATGCCATGAAACAACAGATGACAAAAAATCTTCGAATCGACCACGAACGCTGTTGAATGTTAGGGCTGGTGAGATGGAGAAAGCTAGTGCTACTGGGAACAGCTGAATGATATTCCAGTGCATCCGGAGCACGGATCCACGAAAGCCTTAAGTAAGTGGGACAATCGATGAGAAAGATGGACAGATGAGCCATTCTCAGGCGTACCGACCAACCCGTTGGGCGGAAATTTTAAGGAGCAGTTCATCAGGCCTGTTGCAGAACTGCCGCCTAATGAATAACCTGATCCGACGTAGGGTGTCGATGTTACACCCACTTTGTAGGAGAAAAGATCCGACATTGATGTCCTGACACCAAGCAGAAGTGGACCCGACAACCTTCCTCGATCTTTGCTGAAAAGTAAAGATGGCACTTTGTTGACTGAACTTGCTGCTCTGTTTAAAACTATTTTTGACAATAAAGAGGTGATGTCAGACTGGTGACTGTCCAATATCATGCCCAGCTTTAAAAAGAGTGAACAGGCTTTATAAGAAAATCACCGGGGTATTAATCTGATTTTCATTACTTCCAAATTTCTCACAGATATCATTCTTCGGCCAGTTACTGGTCCTGGTGAAATTCGAATCAGTGAAAGCCAGATTGTCGTGGTTGCATTGAACACATAGGTACTCTTCGCTAAGTATTGGAGCAGACACATAGATTACCGAGTATAATGACTTTCCTTGACCTGATAGCCGCCTTCGACTCTACTGATTGTGTCAGCTTGTGGTACTGTCTATTCGTGGATGGCACGCCAGAGAAACAATTTAAGTCTTAAATCCCACTACCGTGACTCATGAAGCCAGGGAAGCAGTCGCCTAGGTTCTCTATGGCAAGTAGAGTTCGCTAGAGTGACTCTACATAGCTTTCATCATTCTGCTTTGCAAACGAAATGATCACAACTCCGCCCTTTCAAACTGTTCTGGAGTAAAAATTCTGCCAGGTGACCGACTTTCAAACGTTTAGTATTCGAAGGACATAGCTCTCCTTAGGCCTGACGCAATGGCTACGCAAGCACTAATTGAGAGGCAGATGTGCATGCTTCGGCATGTGCTTGCACTTGCGAGGTGCAAAGTACTACTGCAGGGTAGAACCGATAAGCTATCGGTTCTAGCTAGCGCTGAACAGCCACTTTAAGTGATGGATCGGTTCACTTACCTTGGTAGTTGTGTCGCCTCTGATTGTCACCTCACTGAGGAAATAACTTCACGTAGTAACAGGGCCCCTCTGACATCTCACAGGCTCAACGCACTATGGAGACGGCTGGATATTAACTTGCCAGTGAAATATTGTGTGTGTAACACTACGATAAGGCGATGTTACTGTACGGATCAGAGACCTGGACTGTTCCCAGTGAATGCATTAAAAGCTGATAAGTGTCAGGTCACTTGTGCTTGCGGAATATCCCTCACATCTGGTGGAAATATCGGGTGAGCAAAGCTGACGTCCACCAGTTGTTTTTTGGCAAGAAACCCTCTAGTGCATCAGTGGTGTGTATGCTAAAGCTTAATAGCTTAAGTTGGCTAGACCATGTCCTCTGTACGCCTGTTAACTACTTTCTTCCGCGCTGATTACGGAGTGCAGAAAATGAGGAACATCAATGCTCAGTAGTAAAAAGGCGCTAAACGACCGTGTGGTAGTAAGGCGCGTATATCCACGAAGATTCAGAAACATGCTATGTCCTTCTACCAACAATCTGATGACGAAGGCGCGAGTTCCACTCCGCTTGGAACGGTAGAAAAGGCAGTGTCAGTAACGTGTGGTTCACCAAAAATACAGCAAACATTGGATGGGGGTAACAACTCAACCTGTTTCACCTTCCAAAGTAAGATAGGTAAAACAAACATTGCAAATGGCTCCAGACTGCTTAGGATAAAAGAACTGGGTTATTACTGTCGTGAAGAACGAGGCGCCCTGAGTTTGCAGATCATCATTAGCAACAGCAATACATCAGCCGTTTGAACCGGCGCCTCGCTGCAGTACAACCATGGTGACCTAAGGAACGATGAATAATAAAGGGAGAGAAGGGGGACCTAGCGAAAAACTTTAATATCATAAATAAACACTAGAACCAAGGCGCCTATACTTTGTGTTAACAACATACCGTCACAAACAGTTGACTATCGTGCAAAATAAGGTGGTATCAGCGAGACAACTTCCTTGCGGCTTTCACTACCTCGCGTCCTAATCAGTCATCAGCCAGCAGATAATTCAGCAGCTAACACTTTAAACAGGCAGCCCGATTAGGAGACGACAGCAGACACGCCACCGGTGCGGACTGCGAGCCATGTTCTATAATGACTCAAACCAAGCACAAGGCGAGTCACGTGAACTCCAGCCTGGAAGGAGAAACGGACCAACGGCACCTAGTTCGATCGTCAGTGAATTCATGTACGGATGCCAAGTTAACTGTTGTTAACCTCGCGCCACCGTACATCTGGCAAACAAATCAATGCGCTCCTCGGTAAGCAGTGACCGTGCATAGGTAGTAGGTGCCCAAGCCAACACAACTTATTCAGTGTTATCTGTTGCTCTAAGGAAGTAGCTTGATTATCACTACCTAGTACTCGCTTACGCACATCATCGCTGCCACCCGACATCAGCAGTGTTCCGTAGACGGCGATGATCAAAAACTTGAAGGCGCTGCAGGTCATCAAGTCGAAAGGAGCAATTCTCACACCCATAGAGTAGGACAGTCTTCCCTGTGGCCTTGTAAACACGGCGAATCGGGCCGACGAAAACCCTTTCTGACGTCAAAGATGTCGTAGATTTAATAAGGTAGTTCTAGCTTTTTTCAACACGTGAACTGATCTCAGTGTTTACGCGCCCAAGATTGCTGTTTCAGCTGATAAGGTAAGTGAAGTAATCGACTACCTCGAGTTCCTTGCTAACAAGAGTCAAGGGGATATCATCAAGTGGCTGGTGGTCCTGTAACATCACTTTGCACTTTGAAGGTGCAAAGCGCATATCAAATGATGAGACCACTCTACAGAGGTTGTTCAAGGTGAATAGGACCATACTATAGCGTTAAAAAGCAAGACAATATAGTTCTAATGAGTAAAGAGGCAGATAGAGAGGATGTCGATAAGGTCGCCTTCTCAAGTCAGGTTACCCCTAGTTTCATGAAAAAAACGATAAAAAGGCACTAGTAACACACTGGTACTGCATTGAGGCTTCGCTGCTACGCAATCACCGCGAAATCCCAACATCTACGTGGATTTGAAGCGGTAACCTCTGAAACACAAAGTAAGCACGTAAGGCTTTCGGCTAAAGACCGGTGGTATTGTTTCGAAAGCCTGTCCTTTGCTCCACGCAGACATTACGCACTCATGCATTGTCAAATATTGAGGAACTTAAATGCAACGGGTTGTTGTAGAACACAATGTCGCGAAAGGCGATGCCGCCTGCAACCTTAATAACCAATGGTTCGGTTACTTGCCAACGACTTAAGTGTCCCATACATGCTGCTCATGAATGACAATGATGGCAAAGATCCCTTAGCGACAGCGGACACTCTAATCAAAGCTGAAAGATGAATTCGACATTTTGCCTCAAATCTGTGGTATGATGGTGAGAAGCTTTGTAAAGGCCAAATTCGCTAAGAAGTTTAGGATGCACACAGGAAACTGGAGGAGAAAGTAAAAAATAATGCAAGGTACGAAAGAAATTGAAATGCATAGGGCCTTGCAAAATGTTCGTAATTATGACAACTGGTCACATATGTAAAATACACCATTCAAGTGGCATACACGAAGAAATTGAGGTGGTGACAACCTTGTGCACATGGAATAAACATCACCAGAATTTCTACCTGAGTAACTTTACGCTTAAGATGGGACGATTATTTTCCCTCGACAAGCGGGTATCTTATCAAGTTAGCACGGACCCAAATAGAGTCCAGCGTCCTGAAGGGGCGAAATACATACAATCGGCAAATCAGATACTCTGGATCCAGTAATAGTAAGGCAAAGGGACGGCAAACACTGACACCAATGAACCAATAGAAGTATCTTTTTAGCAAAATACGGACAATACTTTCACCGGTCCCATATAGCAAAACAAATAAGTTTGGGGTAAGTGCGAATAATGATTGCGAATTTTTTAACTGAAGCATAGTTGATCAACGATCACTAGCAATGGTGTACTGGGATGTTCAGCACATAAAGACACGGCTCACTTGTAATAAATCGGGCTTTAATGATTCCCTGTTGCTGGTTGCCTCAAATATACAATGTAAAGCATTTTGGAGATAAATGGCCCGGTCTTTGTTCCGAGTCAACGTGTTCAGTAGTAGCTGGTCGCCTCTATCGCCTAACATCTACAAGGAAGAAAAAGAAAGACAATTAACACCATACTGCGATAGAGTAGAAAATGGTATGGATATACACCGTGAAAAATTGGATGAACAGGGAAATGCAAATTCACCGTTAGTAAGCCAAATACAGAGCACAGAGAGGAGAGTATGGGAATAAAATATACGAATGAATGAGGGGATACAATGGAATGAGTAACGATGGTAATGCAGTGAGCCCTTGATGTCAAAAGTTCGGTTACGGCAACTCTACGACAATGGGAAAGCTGAGGATCCGACATCCCTGGGAAAAATGTGCGCACAGCAGATTGTAGGATTAGTTGCATAGAATATTTAACCATAGCAGTTAGGTTCAAGTTTAGATGATCTCTTGATAACGATGCGCGCGAGCAGTATGGTACTGGTGAACAGTATGTAAACGCTAGGACAAACGGTGCACTTAAAAATGGCAGGCACACAAGAGCCTCGGCCCATTGGGCATATAAAGCAGTAGCGAACAAAGCACGAGTGAATCGGACGCAACGCGTGAACCCAATGGGGCACACCGGTGCCATAGCGCGAGCCGTTCGCACTTGCAAAATACAAAATGCTGATTCAATGTTAGGTTCAAACACCACTAACCCTCGTGGTTACTGGACAGCTGCTCGAAGTTACGGACAAGCACACGTGAATAAGCAGTTGACTTGCATCCGTCAATCAAGGCAATGAAAAAGTTAGTGAGCAGGTTTCCATGATTCGCACGACTTTTCGGCCCATAGTTCAATCACTAAAGCAGAGAGACGCCAGCTTGTCAATCCAAGGTAGTGTCCAGTGAACGTAGGGAGGCTATCGCTAGCGCATGATGGACAAGCGTGAATATTGTGCGTGGTGAGATATGATAACTGGCAACTGTGAAGCAGGGTTATCATTCGGTGGGACCACTGTGAGAGAAATGCTGAAAACCATTAGCTGGCGTTTGGCCACGTTTTTATGGTGTTTGTAAGGCAGTGTAACATACTTGTATCGCATACGTCAGTGATGCCACGCCTTTTGTTAGCCTGCTAACCCTCCACGTATACATGTTGTGTGTCCATGCCGGCCCGCGGCCTTAAGGGTCGCAAGTTTGAATGGTAATCCCAAAGTTGCAGGTTCGAGCCTGAGTAGGGGACCGGGCGACCCACGTAGTAACCTTAGCCCATGCGCGATTGGTGGTGGTTACGCGGCAGCGGCGTGTTGCTGATGCCTTCTTCTGTGTGCTCATATTGTGACCGGTTGGGTGGAGCCATAAGGTGGCCAAATGCTAATATGGCAGTAGCATGAATCAGGTGAAGGCTGATGTGTAGGTGCCTGTCAACTTCGTGGGTGAGTAGGGCAGACTACAGCAATAGCTGTAAATGGTATTTGGTCAAGTGAGAGGTAGAGGTTAAGTTTTTCATTCCAAATGCGGTTATCAGCTCAAAGACAGGTTTTTGCTTCCCTTATCCCCTATTGGTTTTACTACGCTTCAATACTCTATAAAGTGTGACGCGGCAATAGACAAGCGAGTCATCCGGAAGTAGGCATCCGGACGGCAAGTAAAAAATCTGAGCGAACAGGCTACTGCTAAGTACGAAAGGAGATAATATAAGGTTTCACAAATCAAGTGGACAGAAGAGTAAGTTTTACAAAAGTAATGCTATGAAGTGGAATGGAGAACACAGAACAATCAGGATCCGGGTTAGTCGTGTTATATAAACATCGAATATGATAGGCAGAATCTTTCTTGTGGATAGGGCACGTGAATGACACGTCCGTTATCACATAGATAAGGAATATATGAGAAGAGTACGCATTCGCTACCGTTTTTTTTGAAAATAGCAGATGTACGAAAAAGCAAGAGTCCAGCATCGCTCGCTATAATGCTCAGCTGTGTGTATGCTGAGCGCATTAACAATGGTTGCCGCTGATACGATGGTACCAGACTGTGAACAGTGGGGCAAGTTGTAGCGGACGAAGACATCGGAGTCATCGATCGGAAGTTGCTGTGAACCAACTAAACTGATGGCAACAACTACTAAATTTGCATCCTGGCGCGTACAGTGTCGACAATACTGTACGGTTGTGAAACCTGGCCCCTTAGATCAACAGACATAAAGAGGCTAGTTACGTTCGACCACCGGTGTCTTCGCAATTTAGCTAACATCTGGTGGGAACACCGCGTGAGCAACGAGCGTGTTCGACGCCTTGTTTACGGCACAGAAAAAGGAAATGAACCGCTTAGCACCGTTATTTCACACACCAGGCTCCGATGACTCGTCCACATGTTATGCATGCCGTGCGTGCGTTGTTTGCGCGCCGGGGGTGTGGATAGAAGAAGAGGAGGGGTGGCCAAGCGATGACTTGGTCGAGAGGAATAAAGGATCCCAATTCGAAGCTCGCCTCAGTTGGAGCTTCACGACTCCATGGTCGCGGTCCGAAAGACCATGAACACGTTTGGCTGGATACACTTGTTGATATGGCTAGGAGCCGACCTCAGTGGCGTTCCTGCTGTGAGTTTCTTTGACCCACCCCATCCTTCTTAGCCTCCACCTCTAACCACGATTTCATTATTTAGCATTGTATAATTTTGCAAAGTAAATTATTTTTTTCTGCTGCATAGTAGCCGGCTGGTAGCTTACCGGAACGATACCCATCTGTTACCGGTAGCTGAGCTGGCTTTTACCTGTTGCATTTTATTCTCTTTTTGCTTATAGGTATTGCGGCACAGTAGCTGAGATGTTTCCCACCTCTAGCTAACGTGTATAGTATGTGTGTGTACAGTAAGTCAAAGTTGACTGACACCTGATCATCTGAAATTGTGATTTCATCGTGTTTTCGGTACTTACAGCATAAGAGCCATATCGATTTCCAAACCATTCGTCGTTCAGCTATGGATGAATATCCGAACGACATCTGTGAGTAAACTACTTCAAGAAAAGATGTTTCGTCTTTGTAGTCTTGACTATTAAAGAAAGAACAAACAAGTATGACCCGATAACTGAAGTGTGGCGAACCCAGGCACATTGGTTCGCACCGCCGTGGTAACAAAACAAATGACAATAAGAGTGGTTGCAATGTCAGAATCATTGCTGAACAGGAAAAGAAAAAATACGACAACAGTATGCCGTCACACCATCTCCACGCTTCGCTGCCACGAGACAACCAGCATGCGGGCGTGGACCGAACATACCACAATGTGGTCTGCACTCGTGAAGATTCGAAATAGTGACCTAAGGATAACAAAATATGCATGTTATCCTTTCGGCTACCAGCTGAAAAATGGGTAAATGAAGGCAGGAAGCAATATACAAAGCGTCATTAACGTCTCAGAGGAAACTGCTATTTACTGAAGCAGCTAGTTTAATCCTCAACACCCGTAACAATCGCAGGTTCGAGCCCGCGTAGGGACCGTTGGTTGTTGCGCAACAGCGAAGCGTCGGTACTGCGTACCGGCGTACTGTTGGTGCTAGTAAAAATCTTAACACATCAATACTTTGTGATGGTGTTTGTTCGCTGTATTAAGCAGATATTCTGAGTCAAGTTATCCGCGCCTAGTGAGTATCGGATTGTCATATACAACTGCTAACTGCGTAAAATAAGAGTGGAGCATCGAGATGTCTACCTTGCATTTCGACCGCTAAGGAACCATGCAAATAACTGCACCATGCACACTAGTAACAATCATGCCAATGATACAGCATGGGAGGCTTGCACTGCCCTTCTTCGAATTAAGAGAAGAAATTCACGTACGCCCCAATCTGAAAAGTCAATCATTATCATTATACATGTCAGCTAGAGGTGGGAAACACCTCAGCTACTGTACCACAATACATAAATGAAAAAGGAAAATAAATACAAAAGTTGCATGCCAGCTGAGCTACCAGCACGCTACTAGGCAAAAAGAAAAATTATTATGCTTTACGCTAAGAAATGAGATCGTAGGTGGAGGGGGAGGCTAAAAGGGATGGGGAGGGACAAAGAAACTCACAGCAGGAACGCCACTGAAGTCGGCTCCTTGCTATAGCAACAAGTGTATCCAGCCAAACGTGTTCACCGTCTTTTGGACCCCAACCAGGGAGCCGTGACGCTCCAACTGAGGCGAGCACAGAAGTGAGGGCCTTCATTCCTCTTGACCAAGTCATCTCTTGGCCACCCCTCCTCTTCTTCCATCCACATCCCCGGTGAGCAAACAACGCACGTCGTGAAAGCCGGTGGGCTGGCATGCGCAACACGTGGCCAAGCCATCGGAGCCTGGTGCGTGAAATAACGGTGCTGAGCGGTTCATTTCCTTTTCCTGTGCCGTAAATAAGGCGTCGAACACGCTCTTTACTCACGCGGTGTGCGAAGGCACCGATAGTCGAACGTAACTAGCCTCTTTATGTCCGTTGATCTAAGGGGCCAGGTTTCGCAACCGTACAGTAAGGTCAAACGTACCGCTGCATTGTACACTCTACCCTTCGCCATGAGTGGCGAAGGTTAGCAAAAACACTTCGGGCTATTGCTATCCGGTTCGTGATCTCGTCTTCGATCCCAAGGGCGCTGATACAACTTCCCAGGTAGTTGAATTTCCGAACGACTTCTAGCTGATCCCACCAAGGATCAGCGCAAGAGGCGATCCCTGCCAATCTTGGAGGAACGCTTTGCATTTCGATGGTGCAAAGCAAAGCCCGAAGCGGCTGACAGCCAGTGCTAATCGGTCCAGCGCGGCTTGGCACGTCTGGGAGCTGTCACAGATGAGCGCAATGTCGTCTGCATACTCCAAGTCAAGAAGTCGTTCTCCTGGGAGTAGCTCCACACCTTCCAAGTCATGTCCTGTAAATGCAATCTCCATGACTTCGTCAATAGCGAAGTTGAAAAGGAAAGGTGACAGCGGACATTCTTGTCTCACACCGCTGGAGATACTGAAGAGGGGCGACAGCTTGCTGTAAACCCTCACTCTTCCCGTGCTACGCGCGTATAATGCTCGGATAATATTTACATATTTCTCGGGCACACCTTTCCTGAGTAAA